TCCCAGACTCCCCCAGCAAGAACAGCTGTGCTGGCTGGGGGATTCTGGGAGTTGAAGTCCACAGGACTTAAAGTCGCCAAGGTTGAGAAACACTGGACTAGAGGGAGCATGATAGCACTCTTCCAGTATTTGAAGGTCTGCCCCAAAGAGGAGGAATGGGGGGGTGTCAAATTATTCTCCAAAGCCCCTGAAGGCAGGAGGAGGAGAAGCAATGGATGGAAACTAACCAAGGAGAGAAGCAATCTGGAACTAAGGAGAAGCTTCCTCACGGTGAGGACAATCAGCCAGTGGAACGATTTGCCACCAGAGGTTGTGGGTGGAGGCTTTTAAGAAGGAAGAGACTGGACAGGCTTTTGTCTCCTGCTTGGAGGTCTGGACTAGGGGGGACCTGAGGCCCCAGAAACGCAGCCAGGGCCAAGATGGGCTGAAGGGGCTCTTGCCTGGTCTCCCCCACCCCCCCACAGAGACCCGGGGCCTTCGCCATCTACTTGGAGCCCTGGCACTTCGACATCTTTGAGTTCCTCGACCTGAAGAAGAACACGGGGAAGGAGGAGCAGAGGGCTCGGGACCTTTTCTACGCGCTCTGGATCCCGGACCTCTTCATGAAACGGGTGGAGACCAACCAGGTAAATCGCGGCTGAGTTCTCTGACACTCGGCAGGATCAGCTGGGAGGGGAGGGGGCTGGGCGAGGGGACCCCCTCCGTGGCCTGAGCCAACCTGAACCTTTGATCTGTGTGGCCTGGAAGGGGCGGGGCTTATTCTTGTGGGCTCATCTTGAATGCTTTGCCTTTCATGAACATCTGTTAAGGTTGTTATTAACGCATTAAGGTCCGTCTGCAGAAGGAGAGAGTATGGGTAGTGGGTGGGGTCTCCAGCCCACCGGAGTTGAGCTTTTCCCCCCTCCTTAAACAGGACTGGTCCCTGATGTGTCCAAGCGAATGTCCCGGCCTGGATGAGGTCTGGGGAGAAGAGTTTGAGCGGCTCTACGAAAGGTAGGCAGGAGCGGCTGGGCTGGGAGGTGCAGCACGGAAGCCCTGAGTTTCTGCGGGACGTTTTGGGATGCCTTTGCATCCGTCACCCTCAGCACCAGGGATTTCCCCAGGAAGCCACGAAGGGAGTTTGATGAAACCAAAGGGAACGATACTCGTCAAGTCCTCTGTGCTGAGAAGCCACCCAGAGGGACTTCAAGAAATGCGGAAGGAAAATGCCAAACGGCTCTTGACCCAACGTAGAAAGGATTCTGGGCGGGAGAAGGGGCGGTGGGGCTGCCTGAAGGAGGCCTCCAGTTGGAGGACTTCCCCAAAGCCTCCTCCCCTGTCCTTCGGGGACTCCCAGGGGGCTCCATCCGGGCAGCAGGGCCACTAGTGAGGAAGCTCTTGGGGGGCTGAGGGGTTTGCATTTCGTGGAGGTGGGTGGGATCGCTAGTTATCTCCATGCTGGAGGTGATCGAGGGGCCGGATCGGTGGGTGCTTTGTGTTGGGAGGGGGGGCCCTACGGACTGGCGGAGGGGGGGGGGCAGGGGTCACGGGGGCCAGTGGAGGGCTCAGCTCTCCTGTTTTCTGGATAAGCAGCTGAGAGCAAAAGTCGGACAGTTAGGACACCAAACCAGCCAAGTCCGTGAGTGGCCCGTAGCTGCGTGAGGCTTCTTCCAGCCGCTTGAGTTGGGCCCGGAAGAGAGATGGGGAGGCGTCTCCCCCACTGCCCCCCATCTGCCGTAGGTCCCTCTGGCTGGGGAGGTGCCTGGGTGTTTGGGCTGAGGCCGGGGGGGTGGAGGTGCTGGAAGCCCTGCGCTTGTCCCCCCCAGCTACGAGAAGCAAGGCCGGGTGCGCCGAGTGGTGAAGGCCCAGCAGCTCTGGTACGCCATCATCGAGTCCCAGACGGAGACAGGGACGCCCTACATGCTCTACAAGGACTCCTGCAACCGGAAGAGCAACCAGCAGAACCTGGGCACCATCAAGTGCAGCAACCTCTGCACCGAGATTGTGGAGTACACCAGCCAGGAGGAGGTGGGCCTCCCCCCCCCTCGCCCCCCTGCCCTTCCCCTCCTGCCCCTCCCTCACCTCCTTTTCCTTTTCTCTCTCTCTAAACTTTTCTTTTTATTTCTAAACATAAAAGACAACAGGGAAAATTCCCATCCATTACATACACGGCATGTCGTTTGGTTACAAGCGTTTGTGCATCCGTATTTTCAATCACATTTACAATCACAGATTTTCCATCTAATATAACTAGGTACCTCACTTTCATCATATATTCAATTACGGTTAATATTTCTTTTCAGCGAACCTAATTCTCGATTGTCTATTTAATAACAATATGCCTTTTTGTAATCATCTCATTCTGAATATTTTTATACAGTGTAAAAGGATTTGCCAACTGTTTGTTTATACATCACTACTTTCAATTATGCATAATCCCACCAATCATTCATCAAGTATGTTTATGTTCATTGTTGTCCTTGTACATCATGCATTCAAACAAAAATGTTCTTCCTTCATTTTTAAACAAAGTATTCTAAATACTCACTTCATATCCAATCTTTCATTACTTTCTTATTAAAACTATTTATCTACAACAAGGTATCTTTATCTTTTCCTTGTCCCCCGTTTCCTCCCTCCCTCCCTCCCTGTCACTTTCAGCCAAGCCCAGAAGGGTTCCCAGGCACCCAGAAAGGGCTCTTCAGACAGTCTTATCACAAACCTCCCCAATTCATTCCTGGGAGAAGAACTTGAGTGTGGGGGGAGCAAGACAGGGAGTCCCGGCTGATAGGCCCCCTCCTATTCCCACAGCCCTTTAAGGGCCCTGAGGAGCCGAGCATTGACCAATAGTGCAGTGGGCCCCTATGAAGGGAAATAAATGGTGGGACCCCCTGCTTGGGCCAAAGCTCAGAGTCCGGGCGCTGGGAGGTCCAAGGGCTGGGCTCCCGTTGGGGTGGGGGTCTCCAGGGCAGGGGGAGGAGGAGGCCTGTGGGGCCTTCCCTCCCGTGAGAGCCTCTCTCTGCTTTCCCCTCCCAGGTGGCCGTCTGCAACCTGGCCTCCATAGCACTGAACATGTATGTGACCCCGGAGCACAGCTACGACTTCCAGAGGCTGGCCGAGGTCACCACCGTCATCGTCCGCAACCTGAACAAGATCATCGACATCAACCACTACCCGGTGCCGGAGGTACGTGGGGTCCGGGAGGGGGCACCCGGGCTGGGTCCCAAGTCGTGACGGTCGTTAAGCGCCCACCGTCTAGGCACAGGGAAACCAGGCGCTGGTCGATTCTCAGGCAGGGATAAATCCCCAGCAGATTCCTTCATTCGTCTGAGGCCCCTGCAGAGCTGCCCACCTTCCAACCCACCCTGGGCGGCTCCTAAACAGAAATTAAAAAAACAATATTGAATTATTTTAAAAGTCAACCCATTAAAAGGGTAGAAATCCAGGCGAACCCAGAGGCACTTTTCCCCCCAGAGGCAACTGGGCTTCCTGGTTTTCCTCTGAAGAGGTTTTGCTCCTCATCCCAGAAGCTTCTTCAGCTCCGACTGGAGGGCTGATGCTCCTTGCAGAGCTGAAGAAGCTTCCTGGATGAGAAGCGAAAGGCCTTCACAGAAAAACCCAGAAAGTCCAGTTGCCCCTTGAAGAAAAAACGCCCCTGGGGGGCAACTGTGACCTGGATGACGGAGAGCAACCTACCACCCCTTAATCCCGCCCCCTCTCCCCCCAGCGCTTGGGGGAAGGACCAGCCCTCCAGGCCTCACGGAAGGTCCAAAGGTTGGAGGCCCGTCAGGGGGCAGAGTGGGCTGTGGGGCAGGGGCTGCCACGGAGGAGACGGGCTTCCTACTTCCCCTCGGGTGGCAGCATTTAGGGGAAGGGGTTGGGGGGTGGAGGTGAACTGGAGATCCGCTCAAGCTGAGACCAGGCGGGCTGAGCCCCTCCTCTCCTCCCGCCAAACCTCTCCAGGCCGAGACCTCCAACAAGCGCCACCGCCCCATTGGCATTGGGGTGCAGGGCCTGGCCGACGCCTTCATCCTCATGAGGTTCCCCTTCGAGAGCCCCGAGGCCCAGCTGCTCAACCAGCAGATCTTCGAGACCATCTACTACTGGGCCCTGGAGGCCAGCTGCCAGCTCGCCCGGGAGTACGGGCCCTACGAGACCTACCAGGGCAGCCCCGTCAGCAGAGGAGTAAGTGGAAGGGGGCTCCGGACTGGGGAGGGGGAGGGGTGTGTGTCTGGGGCTCTGCCTGAGTCCCCCTGAAAAGAGGCCTTTGCTCCTTCATCGGGGAGCTTGGGATCTCCGAAGAGGCCCCGTTCAGAGGGCCTCCCTGAGCTCGGTTGTCTTTCGTGAGTGTTATCAGTGCTATCGTCATCAGCACTGATGACGTTACCTAGTTGGGTCATGAAATGTCTGCAAGAAAACAGCCGAGCTGAGAGAGCGGCTTTATCTTTCTTTTCAAACCCAGAGAACCTCCACAGTGTCCTGTTAGACAGGCAGACCCCCCTCCCTCTTAGCTCCCCTTGGGAAGGAAGTTTGGGGTGCAGGCACCCTTCCTTGGCAGGCCCTGCTCTGTGGGGCGTGTGGGTGAGCTGGCGTGTTCCTTCCCTCCCTCCCGCAGATCCTTCAGTACGACATGTGGGACGTGACCCCCACGGGCCTTTGGGACTGGAGCGCTCTGAAGGCGAAAATCGCACAGTGAGTACAAGACCCCCCCTCCCCACGCCCTGCTGCAGAGGGTGGGTGCCCAGCATAGGGGGGGCATGTCCCTCCCTCTTTCCTGTAGCCTGCTGGGCCCCTGCCAGCCCCATGTTTCTCCTGCCCATCTCTCTCTCCCAGGTACGGGATCAGGAACAGCCTCCTGGTGGCCCCGATGCCCACAGCTTCCACGGCTCAGATTTTGGGGAACAACGAGTCCGTGGAACCCTACACCAGCAACATCTACACCCGCCGGGTCCTCTCGGGGGAGTTCCAGGCAAGTAAGGGGGGGGCAGGGCTGTGGGGAGGGTCCCGGTGTTGCCAAGAGGGTAAAGGGCCTCACGTGATGGGGGGGGGGGCTGTTGAGGCCCCGGGCTGTTGCATGCAGAATGCAGCTGGTCCTCGAGTTACAACCACAACTGGGCCAGAAGTTCTAAGAATTGCTAGGCAAGGGGGGGGTCGTGTTGTAAGGTAGACCCCACCTGGTTTCCTGACCTTTTTCGACACGGTTGTTAAGCGAATCATTGCAGTTGTTCAGTGAATCAAGTTGTTAAGCCAATCCAGCTTCCCCCCAATTGACCCCTCTTATGGGAAGGACGCAGAGGGCGATGCCGTGGGCCCCGGGGAGGAGCTGTGGCTGCAAAACACTTGGGGGTTTTGCCAAATTTCGATTCTGTGTCTGGTTGACAGTCCCTTTTTTTCAATGCTGTTGGAACTTCCAGTGGTCACTAAAAGAATGGTTGTAAGTCGAGGACTGCCTGCAGTAAAAAAACGGCTGCCTCCCTCAGAGAAGGGCCTGCGTGGCGACCTGAGGAGGGAAGCGGGCGTGGGCCGTAGGAGGGGTGGCGGCCAAAGGGGGGTGACTTGCCTAAGGTGACTGCCGGGGTTTTGGGGTTTCAGATAGTGAACCCCCACTTGCTGAAGGACCTGACCGAGAGGGGCCTGTGGAATGAGGAGATGAAGAACCAGATCATCTCCTTCAGCGGCTCCATCCAGGTACGTCCGGCCGAGGGTCCTGGGTCCCCTGTGCTGGTCAGGGCCCCCGCCTGCTTTTTCTGCTCTGCTGCTGTGGGGCCCAGCGTAGCTCCCCCCCCCCCAGTTGCGTCATGGAAACGATACACGATTGTGCGAGGAAATGGTCCCCTTACACCTCGAACCTCATCCGGCAGTGGGTTCTTGTGGAATTACCTTTCCCTCATCCAGGGCTGTTGTGCCGTAGACAAAAATGCAGACGCAGCTCAGTCGTGTTGCTCCTCTCCGGGCCTGTGAGTTTCCCAAACAGCTGTGTGGAGTCTGGTGTGTTAAAGACCAGCTTTGGCATCTGGGCTCATCTGAGCGTCCTTAGAGTGACCCTTTAATGCCGTGACCCGTCAAAAGCGCGTTCCACAAAAGCGCGGTTGACGAAATCGCGTATGTGACGTCATCACAACG